CGTCGCGTGGGGGGGCCGTCGCCGTCCTGGGCCGGGGTGGTCGCGGGTGGGGATGACCCCACCGCGCGGTTTGGGGGGATTCGACCCCCTCGTCCCGCCACGCCGACGGCCGGGTTCGACGCGGCTGGGGGTCGGGCGCAGACGCCTAAGGTTTGGGGGTTGAGATTTCCGCTCGCGAATCGCTGTGGTGTTCGCCGTCCCCAGCCTCGACCGCGCGTGGGAAGCACAAATCGGTGAGGGGCCTTTGCTTTTCGTACATCTTCCCGCTAGGGGGCGGTTGAGCTTGTTACGGTGCATCCATCTTCCTTTGGAGACAGAAATGAACGGTTGGCTGCTTTCCAACTTTCGTGAACCCTTTCTTGAAATAGCCCGTTGGCTGTAACCTCGAGTTTGTGCGTGCACATAACCCATCATTCCTCGAGATCCAGATGAGCCCGCTCTCAGAGTGCGGGCACAACTACGCGGCTTGGTTGTGCTTGACATAAAATTTCCGATCCTTTGATGGGAAAGTCCATGAAGCGTGGGAAACAAACGTTTGGACAAACAAACCCTGAGGGTCTCCTTGATAAAAGAAGCCCGTGAAGTCGTCAACCTTAAGCTTGTTGGAATAGTACCCTTGAGAACGACCAATGGAGTGGCATCACACCAATGATGCAAAGAACGCGTGACGGGTAGCTTGGTTTGTGGGAAAATTCTAGAGCAACTTTTCACACCCTCTCTTGCATAAGTCGCGTGCTTGATTGTGTAGCTCATGGGCCTCTGCCGGGGTAGAGATATGGATAATCCTTCCTTCGTAAATGAGATAATTTGTGCCTTCTCGGACGCCTCAGCCACTTTTAATGGGGTTACCTTGCCGTTGTCGTGCGTTCTTCCCACCTGAGTGTTGCAGTGAACAATCACAGGACCTATGCGGGTTATTTTTCCTGACGTATTTCGCACTGCCCATGCGAGGAGCTTCGCTTTTTCCCCTGAATTGTTCGCAAGACCGCTATGCGAAAAGATTAGTAATGGCAATCTACCGCTTGGGGGAGTCGCTGTTAAGTTAAGCCACCGGCGATAACATGCTTGAGGTGGCGTCTCAAAAGGTTTTTCTGCACGCGTGGGGCCTGCTGCCAAGAAACTTACTTGACGGCGCTTACGGCTCTTCTCTGAGCTCAATAAACTCACTATGACTTTTCGAAGACTCTCCGCAATGAGCTTCAAAAACCTGACGCAGCACGCAAGGGCAGTTGGTGGTATCGTGGCCTTGACTGGGTTAGCATCAAGGGGCATCGCTTTTATAGGGCGAGCAGCTAACAAACACAGAGCATTACCCGTATGCCGTCTCACTTTAAGCTCCTTTTTCATGAGTTCGATAAAACGAAAGGAAGGGTAATTCGTCACATGAACACCTGAATTGTGTGGTAGATCCGGTATGGTGAAATCAGAACGATATGCCATTTGTGCGCTTGTGCAATAGGGGATGGATTCACGAAAATCAGCGTATTTGTGTGGTGGGAAGGATACCTCGAAAAAATTCCCCTTCCTAATTATTTCACCTTTCCTGTAGATAGCTCTGTGCATAGTATAGTTTTGTGCTACTTCATTCGCCTCTAAAGATCCTACTACCTCCCCCTTGCTCGCTAAGTTTCTTACATATTTGTCTAATAAGTCCTCTAGAACTTCCGTATTGGCTTCACCTTCCTGAAGTTTCTGGCAATGCTGCTCCCTCTGTTGGTTGTAGTGGTGATGACAGTCTGATTCTTCGCTTTTTTTTCCCTTTGTAGTCCTTCCTTCGTGATCCTCATTAAATTCCTGATTTTTGCCACACTTTTCATCTCTCACTTTCTTGAGCTCTTCGACTTTCCCGTATAAGCCACCACAGGCATCTCTGACTGCTCTCTTGAGTGTCACTTCATCCACTAAGATACCTCTTTTCGAAATCGATCGAGTGTTGATTTCTCTGTGGTGAATGGTAAACATCGTTGAGGGGATATCCTCAATAACTTTCGACATAGGCAGTTTCTTCTTTTCTACTGAAATGACTTGTTCTCGTCGCTGTTGCCTTCCACTCATCACTTGGTGTATGCTCTCTTCATTGAATAACAGTCTAATCAAATTCGTTGCGCATGCACGATCCGATACATGCATGTCAATCTTGCGCTCAGTATGGTTCATCAAAAAACGCGCGTTCATTTGTTCTGCCACGAGCACTGCCTGACTACGGAACTCAATAGTCTTGACAAGCTCCTTCGAAACTGAGACTGCTGTCTGATACCCTACGTCATCACTTACAATGAATCCACCATTGCAGGGATCACTACCTTCGTTGAACTGCGCTAGAATGACTTTACGTATCCGCTTCGCCCCAGATAGTCTCACCTGATTGTGAGAAAGTCTTCCTAATTTTCTTTTGCAAGCCATTACCACATTTTTATGAACATCAAGTGCATAAATACCAACCTTTGGTGGTAGCGCTGAGCCCTTCAAGACGGTCATGAAGTGTTCTGGAGGTGAGATGCAAACCAAACAGAGCGACCCTATGGATGATCCAATGTCGCCATTAATATCAGGAAAAGCTATTGGGTATAAATCTCTATGAAATCCGCCCGTCTTGTCTAAGTATGGTAGTGATGAGGAAGTGAGTACCATGTGTGCTTGATGCCGTGACACGATACAGTTACTTAAACGAAACAATGATGGAAATGTCTTTGCGCGAGCTTCCCGAAGGGATAAAAAGCTACCATGTGCAATGGGAACACCCCTGATAAACCAAAGGATAAAGAATGAAATCAAGTAAGAATTCAACGAAATTGGAATGGAAAGGAATTGATGTTTGGCGTGAATCAAGGGGACTAGAGCTGGTTGGATGCGCTGTGATTTGCAACCTGTAACGCAACCGAATGCTAAAAAACACCGCCTTATGAAGTCCTTCCTGGGGCAGCAATGATAGGTCGATACCTTAGGTACATTTTGCTCAACGATTCGGAACATATTAGCGTTTTGAAGTCTTTTAAAAAACTAGCTTTTCATACTGCTAAGTATGCATAACAAGGAGGAAGACGTAGAGGGAAGGAAGGGGGAAATAACCCCGTTTACTCCTATAAAGAAATAGATATCCCCTAGACACAATTGATGAGATATAGAGAAAAGGATTGCATGATAGCTTATTTGAAATTTTCAGAAAACGTAATATTGCCAACCAATGATCGTTAAAACAGACACTAATTTTAAAACCCTAAGGAAGAGAAAATAAAAGGAAAAGTTAAAAAGGCAACTCCTTCATATTTCTCATCCCTCAAGCTTTTATGATAAACCTAATGCTTTCTGGACCCACACGAAATAAAGCATTTAATCATTATTTATTTAGAAGGATCGACATTAAGCACTGATTTTTGCGTTAATTTATAATCTCAACAACCGACTTTTTAAATGGGAGCGCCGTTACTTTCACAATAAAAACTCTAGACAGAAAATTTGATGCCATTGCTATTATAGCAAAGTAACAGCGACGCGTTTAGAGAAAGAGACAGAAGCACGATACAATATGATGAGGCTCGCAACAGGAATGCGTTGTCTTCATTCGTTGTTGCTTTCACTTCCCCTTTCGCGAATATTAAAAAAAGGGCAAGGTCATAACAAGCGCTCATTCGACTATTTAGTTTTTCCTCACTGGACAACATGTTTTACGCCCCCAACCCGGCCTCAAACGGCCTCTACATTATTTTTACTACCTTAAACCTCTCCTTTTTCTCCCACGATAAATGGCATTGTCAGATTTAGTCAATTCTAAAGATAAATCACAAAAAGAGGTAAAAATACAACATTGTTTATCCGTTGCTACTCTCCATAACCACTTTTTCGTAGTACAATCCATCGCCAATGATGTTCCTCAAGATTAACAAGTTACACCCTACATAAATGACAACCTCCTAAGCTGACGAAACTCACTCTAATGGATCTATATATATTCATATATATATATATATATGCATGTATTACAACTCACACAAAGGAAAAAATTCACAAATTCGTGCAGAGGAACTGGATGTTGATCTCGACATACGAGCACGGGACGCTTATATCATACGCCTTCAAGGAGTTGGGGTGAACCACGCCTAGGCCACCAATCTTAACCTTTTCACCGCAGCGATGGAGAAAGATATCCATGCAGCGGCCGGGGAAAAAAGCCCCGTCCGTGCCCTTCTCGAGGCTGTAAAGATCCCCGGTATAGCCTTCAGGGTTGCACCCCTTCTTGGGAATCCCAAGCTTAACAAAAACATGCTCGGTGATGGAATGGATGTTTTCAAAGCTGCTCCCGCTGCTCGCACAGTGGATGGCAGCAAGATGACGTTGGTTACGCGCTCCTGGGCTGGAGTATGAATCTCCCGTTTCCAAAACGGGAGGAAAGTTTTTACAATTGTCAATCAACACCACATCCGCGCACTCAAAATAACGCTGTGGGAGCGGCTGCGATTTGTTCGCGCTGAGCGTCTTAAGAAGACCAGGCATGAGTGAAGGCCGACAGATCTGAAACTCAATCGTCTGCGGGTTGGCGATATGCACAGCGATATCCTCGTCTTTACGGTTTAAATAAGCAAACGATTCATCTCGAGAGCACAAGGAAAAGGTAAGTAGCTCCATATACCCCGCGTTCGCCATTTCAATGCGAAGGAGATGCCCAAACTTGCTAACAGGGGTCTGCGAAACATCCCCGTGCGTGTTGCACTCTTGATAAGTGATCTTGTCGTAGCCGTAGGCAATGGCGACATCCTCCACCACATCGGAAACGCCCAACACGTCGGTGCGAACAGGCGAGGTCTCCACCTCAACCGTCTTTTCATCCACCTTTTTGACGTCATACAACATCCTTTGAAGGTACCCCGCACACTCGTCGGAAGATTTCATGTCAATACCAACAATCTGATTCAGCTTATCAAGATCAACTGTGAGCTTGGTCGTTTCGAGCACCGGGCAGACCTCATGCTTTGTTCCGTCGGGGGCCTCCTCCTCGTAATCCACCGCAACTGCCTCGATGGTGAAGGGCTGCTCACAATACATAGAAAACGCACAGACAATTTGGTTTACCAGCACCTGAGCTTTGTAGTGATCTGGCGCGGTGCAATCGATAAAAATGTTTTTCGTATCCACCGTCATGTGCGAATAGTCAGAGTTAATTATCGGCGGCAGCGATAACACGCGTTTGCCCTCACCATCCATAATAACTGTGTATCTAGGCATTTCCGAAACGAGGGGAATGTACTTGCTAATGTGGCGATCCTGCGCATAAAAATTTTTTAACCCCTCCCCTGCGCAATCCAGTTCCTTGGTTTGGCGAAGCGGTATGAAACGAATATCCTTCCTCATACGTGCCGTATAAAGGAAACGGTTCGTCATGATTTTATCCAAATCATGCGTACCCACCGAAGCCAGCGTGCGCCGTCGCGCCAAGCCTTGGTGTAATTTATCCTGAAAGTCGATAAAGCTGTTATAACGTTTCTCATCGAAATGGATATTCTTCAATACGGCGCAGACGACATAATCGCGGACGTGTTTAACACTCTTTTCGACGGTCATGTGGTAGAGTGGGTTGCCGCGATGAAGGACTTGGTAACGGGGCATCGGCATGAACCCAAGAAATACCTTAAGAGCGGTACACATCCCTTCCGCGCTGAGCAAATCGTATCGATTGGCCGGGGTGTCAATTTTGTAAATTACCTCTTCGGAAAATTCCACCTCGCCGCCCGCGGCACTCAAAGATTTGCCGTGCTCACGCAGATACATTTTTTCTTCGCTAGTGATGTCGTCCAGCTCGACGCCGAACTGAAAGCAGATATCTTCGAACTGGGCATCCGTGTAAGTCTTCCCAAGAAGGCGAAAGAAGAAATCCTTGGAAACAGAAAGAGTAGGCATTCTTCTCTTATGACCTTTGTCGTTGTTATCGTCCTTGTCTGGTATCCCTTTTCATTCGTCAGTTAAACACAAGAGGAGGAAGCGGGAGGAGAATTCGTAGAACGTTTTCCAATGATGAAGAGCAATTATTCCGTCCAGCCCACATAAATAGAAGGGGGGAGGGATTCTACATCATTTGTTAAACCCATACGCCGCCAGACGCAGCCCATAGCAAGATAAAAAAAAAGAAATGATAATGCTATAGAATTTCATTCAGTTTTCCTCATCTTCAAGATACTACGAATGCGCTCCTCGATCGCATCCTGTTCTTTCGATTTGATGTAGTTGCCGTTGCGGCTTCTCTCAGAGTCCTTTAAACGTTTCTTTTCACTCTGCATAAGTTCGCTTTGTCGGTCTCTTAACCGTGCGGCTTCGTTTAATGTCTGATTTTGGTACGCAGCGACACGAAGTTGTGGATCCAATCGCTGTTTCTGAAGCAAATCTCTTTCTTTTTTGATTTTATAAACCTCAGAGGAAGTTACAAGGCCGGTGCAAGCCGAGGGTTCATTCTTAGAAAGATCTCCTTCATCACGACAACACTTAGGATACGCTACTTTTTTATCTCCCTCTTGGTCGCGTTCTGCTGATATAGGCGGGGTCTTGAGGGCTACCGTCTCTCCCAAGGCTACATCTTGTCGGAATTTGATCAGGAAATTGTCCTGGCTGGAACCTTTCAAGGTCTGCACAACAGGCGTTTTCGCTTCATTCTGGCGCTGTGAGCCTTCACTCTCACGCTTGTATTCCGCGGCGAATACTTTACGAACTTGCAGTGAATGTGCAAGTCCCACACCTTGAACCCGATCCCCAGAAGCGGGGCCTGGTGAAAGAGATGAATTCAGAAGGAGTTCATCATAACGACGCTTTTCCTGATCACGGTTTAGCTCATTGATGCGCTCGTTGTGGATTTGTTCTTCCGCAGCTGCTTTTTCCTTGAGCTTCTCAACCTTACGAAGATTGCTGAAGGTGAGTGGGTGGAAACTCTTGTTGCGATTGATATCCTTGCTGTGAGCTTTATACATGGTATAGGCCCTTAGGCTATTCTTTGTATGATAACGAACACTTTTTTATGTATTCACGTATATCACGTAAGAGGTTTCACCTTAAGGAACTCGAAACGGATAAGAGAGAGTTTTTCGTGTTATCCTTGAAGAGACACATACGTGGATATAGGACTTGAACATCAAATAAAATATCATGATATATTTTACTTTGCGCGACAGGGGAGTCAAAGCCCCCCACACCTCTCAAGCATTCTTCCCCCTCCTTCTCATCCTCACATTTGGAGCCTGAAAATTAGAAATACGATGCTCTTTCGAACGAAGTTAAGCAAAAGGAAAGTTTGCAGCAACTCGACACGGGAAAATAACGCAAACCAACACCTGACCCTCCTCCCCCCCCCCCCACCCCACCCCACCTCGTTGTGGTAGAAATTTATGCCGTTTAATTGATTAAAGAAGTGCTCACCTCGTCGTCTGTCCCGGAGTCGACAAATGGGACGTAATCCTCGCAAAACTCGGGTGGATATTCGATATCCCATAGCGTCAGCCCATGGGCCGGCGCGGGCGGGAGTCGCTCCCGCTTAAACTTCTTACGCGACACATCAAATCCACTCGCGAAGGCGTGCTGAAGTTCAAACTCAT